GGGAGACAGAAGAGACCCCTGCGGCCACAAAGGAGGGGCCTGGGACTGATCTCTCCCCATCTGCCAACACCGACTGAAACCGGCCCGGAGAAGAGAACCACAGTAAAATGGTGCCCCCAACCCACAGAGCTTGCTCAGAAGGATACTATGATTGCCAGTATAGAAAGCTGCCAAGAGATCAAGGAGCACAAGAATGGATGCACCATCACCATCCCCATCCCAGCTCCGCCACAAGTCATCAACAAGTGCGACCGAAGTCGTCTCTATACTGAACCCCGGCCTGAAGCCTGGCTGAAACTGGGTTGTTTCAGAGAACATTCTAATCAGATTGGGCTATATTTTATTTTATTCTTGTGATGTTTTATTGCTGTTTACAGCTGTGGCATTGCTTGCTTTTTTATTTTGTTTTACTTTTATGTTTATCATAGATGTTTTAAATGATCACGTAAACAACTAAAAGTCAAATGATTGTTGAGGGATATAAATGTAATACATACATACATGCATACATAACTATTAGCAGGAATGTCAAAATGGTTCATATTAAGGATGCGATAGCGATTTTAACAGTAGAATGATTTAAAACAGATTTTGATAGTCCTAATTGGATGAAGTCAACAAAAGGAGGAAGAACTGAGCAGAAGCAGAGGACAGAGAACCTGTCATCAGCAGATGAAGATGACTTTTGGTGGCAGTGAAGAAATAACAGGAGATATCACCAACAATCCAGGAAGAACAGATCACTTCAGGCACAAGATGAACACGAGATCAGCACGCCCATCAAATTTCAGCCACAGAAAGTAAATGACAATGTAAAGGACATGCTGAAGTTATAAAAGGAGTAAGACCCTTCAGGAGTGCTTGCCCTTCACCTATAGTATGATGAATGAGTCAGACCAAAGTACTTATTTTTGCACAGATTTCAGACAGCTCAGCCCAGGACTGTTCCATCCAATGCCTCAAATGGAAAGCCCTATAGAAACACTGGGGATCGCAATAGTTATTCTGGCCTTACGGAAGTTTGAAGCTTTTGTCTTTTGGTCTTTGAAATTTACTGGAGTCTTTTCAAGGACTAGCAAATACATTGTTACAAAGAATGGGCTTATTCCCATGCTCATATATTGATTAAAGTTTTATAAAATATCTTGGTGCTGCATTCCAAAGAATAAAAGTAGTCGTTTTGGCTGTGAAAGCAAAGAAATGCTAGCTGGTAAAGGAGTGGCAGTATCACTCCTACCCTGGATGTGCCAGTCGCAGTAAAGGGATCGAAAGCAAGTCTGGCTCTTCTTGAGTCTAGTAAATTATTACAGAAAGTTTGTTCTCAATTTTAGTTGAATAGCTCCAGCTTTAACTGAGGTAAAAAAACAAAGCCCTGATAAATTTATCTGAATATCAAAGAATGTTTAATCACCTTAAGTAGTAACAACCCTATCTTGAAAATAGCAGAATATCAAAGCAAGGATTTTTTGACAACTGGTTTCCAACAGTTATATGCACTGTGTTATTACAGGGTTCTTACAATGTTATCCTAATCGTATACCTAAGTAGGAAACTTGGGGAAAAACTCAAATGCAATGCAATGCCTGGCAGTAGGGACAACTGATACACTTTGGGGCCAAGAATTTATTAAGAATAACAGTGCTCTGAAGTGGTTATGGTCCATGACTGACAGCACTATGGAGTTGCTAAGATGGTCTTAGATATACAGATGTTGAATTTATGGTGGAACAATATACTGGGTACCTAGTATGTTATGGCTAATGACTCCCAATCTGGAATACAACAGTCACATTCTCCCCATGTTCTGTGAAACTATGCTAACTTGTGAAAAGTTACTACAGAATTTCTACAAAACACAGAGTAATTATGGTTGGAGTGATTAGACAGGCTTTCACAGTTCCACCACAGTATTCTGGAACATTCCAGAAAAATATACTTACCATTTGACAAGCTAGTAGATGGATCAAGGGTCCTTTTGCACAGCTGCCCATCTGGCTCCTGTTGGCACATTATTTGGCCCTGCTGCTCAGTCCCTACCACTTCTCTCTGCTTCCTAGGAAGGGGCAAGCTCCTCACCTCAGCATCTCTTCTAGACACAGGACAATTCCCAGGAAGCATGCCAGGCTCGCCTTGACCTTGTTCCTGGCACACTGCTTGTGTCTCTGCCATTTTATCCTGCTCAGTCCTTGCAAAGCAGCCCCTTTCCCTTTGTGGGAGCAGCCAGCTCTGCTCTTGCACAGGTTGCTGCCCCTTGGGCCAGTCCCTACCTGGAAGGACATCAGCATGCAGAATCTCTCCAGGAAAAATACTGGCTCTTTGGAACCGGCTCCTTTCCCGCTCTGGCTGGGGCTCAGAATCAGACTGCTTCAGCATCATTCCTGGACTAATGCTCCGGCACATGCTCTGCACTTCAAGCGCAGCCTCGCTGGGATTGTCCAGAGGATCTTGCTTTCCTGACCCAGCAAGTGCCAGCTCGCCAGCTGCTTGTGAATCATTTTTTGGAATGGCTTCTCTAACTACAGAATATTCCACTTGTTCTACTGCCATTCTTTCCCGGGAAATTGTCAAATGAAGGGAAAGCCCTTCATTCAGCAATTTTACTTCTCCTGGCTTCTCACAGGGAGCCTCTGGGACAGCTTCACACTCCAGGAGCAAAGATGTCTTGCTTGACACATTGCCTCGATTGCTAAGGTCATCACAAGCTTGACCACTGGAAGTGCCTCCTGCTGACTGTACAAATAAGGGCTGACTGTCCTTATTAGCCTCCTGTTCACTACAGTCATCAGGCAAGCAAAGTTTCTCCACCAAAGCACAAGGAACAGTTACAGCAGTCTTCTCCTCCACTGCGGTCAATTGGCTACCTTCGCTGGCAGAGAGGGCCAAAACACAGTCTTTCTCTAGGGGCCCTGGCAGAGGAGCTTCTGCAAAAGAGGCTGATGTTGCTGCCTCCAGAACTTCAGAGCCATCTGCTGGGGTAGAGACATCAGAATTTTCTCCTTTCTCTGCTTCTGTCTTACAGCCTTCCTCCAGGCTTGGAGATGGGAGAAAGGTGTCCTGCAAAGGAAAACAAAATGGATGCCACAACTCCACTCCTGCTATTCTGAAACCTAGCCCTGAACTAGCCACCTCAGTGGCTGATGCCAAGCACAAATAGAGGCTTAGTCTTCCAACCACACACCAAGAAAGCTAATGACTTGGGGTGGGGTAGGGGGATACATTCTCCTGCTGAAGATACATATGCAACCCAAATTTCATGTATGGACTGCTCCTCGTCCTACTGCCCCTTTATTTAAATTGTGCTCAAGCCCCATTTATTTAAAAGAACACAGTACAACCAGAAGTCTCAACCAGAGCAAGACCATAAACAGCATCCTGTGGCTTCTGGGTGAAGATCTATGGTGGACCAGACATCCCTGAAGGAGTGGACATGTCACTGTGGCCAAGATTGGCGGCCTGATGGCAAATTCTGGCCGGTGCAGTCTTTCCAGACAAGGAAAGATTGTGAGATTGCCCAGTTGCACTCCAGATAGCTGCTCCTTGTGAGGGGACTGCAGGAACTGAGGCTTTTGCAGTTGGCTCATGAGTTGAGCAGCTGGGAATTGAGGGATTTCAATCAAGCTCACAGGCGTAACGCAGCCTACATGGACACAATCTTCGCAAAAGTCTCACTTTCTTAAACACTTTCAGATGTAATTAATTTACAGCCAGAGGGAGATTTTCTGAGCAGCAAGATAAGAAAATTCCACTTCGTGAGTCGACATTCTTTCTTTTCTGGATTAAAAAGGGGGGGGGGAAGGGCTTCAAAGATTTAAAAGCTTTTGGCTAAAAGCTTAACAAGGAGTCAATCTAAGAACGTTTAAAATGGATAAAAGGGATAGTAATTTTGAAGGATCACTTTTTGGTGAAAGTGCTTTTGAACAAATTGGAATTAAAATAGACAAACGGACCAGACCTTCATAGGAATATCTGTTGCTTAGTATTAAAGAGTACAGACAATTGGTGGATTTTACAAAACAAAAGATAAAGGTAATATGAGCCAGATTGTGATGCTAGCTATAACTACGGAGTGCCATTTGATACAAAAGTGTTAAGGGCACAGAAAGTCAAAACAGGAAGAAAAAAAAGGGGAAGCTTGCCTTTTACACTTTCCCTTGCAACTGAGACACTTGCACTTTTGGATTACAATATTACAACGGCAACCACCAGAAAAGTGGCAAAAACAGCAAAGCAGAGGAAAGTAACCTGCAGAGGGGGGAATTACACCAGATTTGCTTCAGAAAATGTTTGGAAGGTGTGATTTTTACTTTTAAACAGCAGAGGTTTCAACACGAATTATGTCCAGAAGACAAGAGAATTTCCAGAAAAATTTAAAGAGGAATTGGAGGAGACTAAAATGGAGGTGTCAGATAAGACTACACAAAAACCTCAACAAGTACAACAGGAAACTGAAAGGGATGACACTAAATTAATTAAATTAAGTTTAATGTGTAATAAAAATGAAGCAAATGCTCCTCAAAAGAGAAAAAAAGAAAAAGAGAGAAAAATTTCATTATTTGAAAAAATTAAAACAAGATATAATTTGCCTACAGAAGACGCTTATTAGAAAAAAGGACATAAAATATTTGATTTATAAAAATTTGGGTGAATTTATTTCAACTAAAAACAGAAATGGAGTTGTTTTGTATTTAAACCCCCAGCTAAAACCAGAACTTGTATTGACTGATGAGCATGGTAGATTTGTTGGGGTGGAAGTTAATTCGCACAGGACTGAGACTCTGATATTGGGAATTTATGCCCAAAATGAGACCTAATGCTAAGAGAGGACTCTTTGGAAAAGACCCTGATGCTGGGAAAGATTGAAGGCAAAAGGAGA